CATTCTTATGAGTAGCAAGATAAAGTTCTGCTCGTCCAGGCATTTGACCGGTCTCAGCCATCTATAAGCAAAACAATCAACTTAGAATAACTTAACTAATTAAAAATAATTACAAAATAAGTCATCTTAATAACTAAATAAAATGAAAAGAACTAAAATCTTTAACCATTTCAGCCCTTCTTCTAGAGTTAGCTTTGGATCCACCTGTGTGTGGAATGATTTGTTTCTTTCGACTTTCAGCATTTCTGTTGCACATTTCCTAACAAAAAAGATACACGAAATTCAATCATTAGAAAGTAATTATATGACTACACATACTACTTAAAACAATTAAATATATATACTTGTGTTTCTTTTTTATAACGATAATTAACATAAGAAGTCCGCTGATCTCTTAGAATTCCAGGTGGAACATTATCCATAATCTGAGTTTTGCTTTTAAGTGGATCACCAAACACTTTCCATATGTCCAACCTATTTGCACTCCACTTCTTTGAAATACGGTTATAAACATATCGTCGAGCAGCTAAGTTGGTTGTCTCAAAAAAAAATCGAGGCTTCAATAATAAACACTAGTTAGCTTACCTATTAAATTTAAATATAAAGATTCGAGAAAAGAATATAAGTATAGTATTCAGAATATAGAGTTTATACCACTATGATTTGATCAAAGACGCTATCGAAGTATGACATAGGCATATTTGGCCATTTGTCAAAGTGCATTGGAAATAAGGACGAATCAGCAGCTAAAATTCCACAAAAACCAGAAAGAAGGGGTTGTGCTTCTCCAAATGGACAATCCAGGTAGTCAAAATTGACCACAATACGATCTTCTCCAGATAAATTTAGCACTTCTTTGACTTTCACTTTGAGTTTTTTTTTGTTTCCTTATGAATCTGGAATAGTGAAAATGATATAAAATGAAAACATGTTCAATTTTCCAACCAATCATGTTCTAGAGTGGGTTGTAGTACTTGTTTATGTTTTTAATTGTTTCACTCTATTATAGTACTTGTTTTTCACTTTGTAATTAAAATGAAGGGAGTAGGTAGAAAAGAAGATGAAAAGTGAGGGGAAAAATAGGACAAGCCCCTCTAACAAAAAGAAGAAAAACAAGACAAATGGAGAAGAAGAAAAAAAGATGAAAAAGAAAGCAGAAGTGTAAAGTTTACCTATTGCTTCTACGGTCCAATACTCCGTAGACTCACGTCCAACAACACGCTTCTTAAATGAATTCGGTTGTGATTCGGCCTGACTTGATGAAGTCGAATGTGATACAGCCTGATTTGAGGAAATAGACTGTGATGCAGCCTGAGTTGACTGAACCGGCTGTGATGTAGCCTGAACTGAGGAAGTCATCTGTTTTTTGGCCTGAACTGATGAAATCGATTGTGATGTGGTTGGTTGTGCATTGGGCTGAACTGACAATGTAGGTTGTGTTTGAACTGAGTTTTGAAAGTTCTGCCAGCGCTTGGTCTTTGCCATTTCTACAATAAACCAAAGATAAGATAAATCAGAAATTCTTAAAAAAAATACTGTTATTGCAATACTTGTAAAGATTACTGGTTCATCCAGTTATAAGGCTGCAGATTTTCATAAGAAATTTGTATCCAGATCCACCCACACATGAAAAGTTCAAATCTTAATAAAAGACTGATGTGATTAGCATATACAAATAGTTTTTCCTTTACACCAAAACTAAAAAGCATGCTATGTGTGTTCAGACATATGCTCCTCTGTTGAGATTTGGACATTTCCATAATCAACATCGAAAAAATTTTCAAATTCTTGTTGTTGGTAGGGCTCATTCTCAAATATATCTTCTTCATCAACTTGTCCCATGTCAAACACATCTCTTGGTTGTAAATGTATAGCTACACTCCATTCTTTATCTGTTTCATCATCAACATAGAAAACCATATTTGCTTGTGATGCTTCAATATAAGGATCATTATCCTCACGATCACCAATGTGAATCAATTTAGAAAAATTGACACAATTAAAGTTCCAAACATCTCTTTTAAACCCTCTATCTCGAGTAGTGTCAGCCCACTTGCATTTGAAAAGCACAACCCTGAACTTTCCATAATAGTTAAGCTCAATAATATCTTCCAACTTCCCATAATATGGCAAATCTGCTTGTCTTGCATTTCTATCAGCACTAGATGCAACGCAAGAAGTGTTAGACATAAGAAAAACTCCACTATTTTGAGTTTTCAATCCTTGTTCTCTTGACAAAGTTCGAAATTTGAACCCATTAATGTTATAAGCAGTGAATCTTCTTGCATATGGCGCTGGACCTTGTGCTAAAAACTTTATATCATCAGAGATTGTGTCTTCTATATCAGGATTCATTATCTAAATAAGAAAAATATTTTCGTCAGATATTCTAAATTGAATTAGAAATCCTATGCAAAACTATCATCTAATTTCAATCACTCACCCGCTTAGGAAACCAATCAGTAAACTCTCTATTAATTCTCTTTTCTACCTCTGTTATCGAAGGTTTTCTGCCTCTTGAACTCCTTTTAATGTGTTGCCTAAATTCACTACAAATAAAATCAATGAACAACCATTTTACTAATGTTTTTTAATAGATCAAGCTTATTTAAATTACTTACTAAATAAATGGCTTTGCTGAAGCGCAATTAAGTAATACATATCGATGAGCTTGAGTTTTCTCCAAATGAGTCAAAGCAAATGTTATGAAGCCTCCGACAACTTTACCTTGTCGAGGGAACATAGATGACCTTTCAGGAACCTCATCATGATTTGTTTCATCATTTACTCGTTTAGGCCTATTTACCCTCGATT